AAAGCAATGGAAGGGCTGGCCTTCAGACTGAAAGTTCTTAGAATAACAACTCAGTCCCTGGTTTCCAGATTGCTTCAGCTGAATCCCAAAGGCCAAATGAAGAGTAAGGGCTTCAGAATCTGGTGAACAGGCTTAAGCCCCAAGCTTGGGCTGGGCTAGCTACATTACATTTTTTTTCTATTTTGGAAGCTAGCCCAGTGGTGGGAACCAGTGAGCGACTTTGCTGACCTCAACCCTTTCAAGGGATCCCAACTTCTGGCTTTGACTTTTGAGTCACATATCATGCTTTCTGGCTGCCTGAACCCCGTGAAATCAAAACACATTTTTCCCTGACACGTAAGAGATAGACCTGTCCCCAGCACTTGGTATCGGCAACCCCAGCAAGTAGTACGGCAGCTGAATCAAGTGTGAGAAGAAAGGACAGAGGCAAGAGACCAGGGAGTTGCCAGCTTGAAGTAGCCAGATTGGAGGAGTTTTTATAGAGATCTGTTCTGACCTTTCTAACTGACAAGCTTGAGACTGTTCATTAAGAGAGATCACAGATCACCTCCCATGAGGCTTTATATAGATCCAAGGGCATTGCCTGTCCCTTGACACAGTTGCCTGTAATCTCAGCGAATTTGTGCATCAACAGCCCTAAATGGAAAGAAAGCTCAGGAGGGAGGCCATCTCCTCCAATTCCCTACTTTCAGGAAAGAGCTCACATAAAATAGCCTTGTGTGGCTCATAAACCAGGATGAAGGAGATACGTTTAGGAGTGCTTTGAGCTCTTTGGAACAAGCATACGGGAAGATACTGGCCAACATTTTCGAATATTAATGTGCTATTGCTATTTCAGGATTTCTTTACCGGCAGTGTGGGATGGGAGAAATAATTGTGTAATGGGCTCTACTTTATTTTCTCACCCTCACAGAAGAAACTCACACGTGAATGTGTTTTCCGGGAACAGTTTGAAGAAAACTGGTACAACACCTATGCCTCCACCTTGTACAAACACTTGGACTCAGAGAGACAGTATTATGTTGCTCTGAATAAAGATGGTTCACCCAGGGAGGGATACAGGACTAAACGACACCAGAAATTCACTCACTTTTTACCGAGGCCAGTAGATCCTTCTAAGTTGCCCTCCATATCCAGAGACCTCTTCCATTATAGGTAACCAATCCCAAGCGTGACCACTATGACCCATAGATTGTGGGGCCACTGTTGTCTCTGCAGCCACTATACTCATAGCGTTTAAATCCTTTCTTACTACCAATTTAAATAACAGGGAAGCACTCACTGTTCAACTTCAACCTAGCTGTTCCCTTGTTGTTCGAAGTGTATATCAAGGTTGAGTTATTTGGGGGAGGGATATGTAGAGAGGGGGTGGGCTAGAGGGAATCTTGTATATACCTTTTTCTGTATTCATGTTCTTTCCCTGATGTGGCACGAGAAAGAATGGAAGCCCCTGCCAAGGGCCAGGGGTCTCTTGTTCCATGATGTACCCAAATACCTCAACAATAGGTAAAGAAAAGACCAAGGAATCTGCCATGGATGCTACCTGCAGAGCTTTGGAAAAAGTCTCCTTGAGAAAATTCTTAGGGCGATAGCCCTGCTGCAAGCCATCCCTGCATTGGCGTGACAGATTTCTCTTCTGTTCTGACATGCAGTTTTCCTGCCGTTGGAAGTAGGACATGGGTGCGTTTTTTAAAATGATATGAAAATATAAGCATGGATACTGTGCATAAGGACAAACTATTTATGAAATGTATGTGCTATTTATTTTATATATTTATTTATTTCAAAATAATTTTATTTTTAATTAGAGATGCTATGACTGGATTTTCATCAGAAAGAATAAGGTCCTACTGAAACATGATAAAATGAGTTATTAAGGCTTTTATTGGCAATAAAAATTGTCTTTATATTATAGCCTTTTGTCTAAGTCTGTTGATTTGAAAATTTTGTAAGAACAGCTTCTTTCTCTCCAACACACTAGAATTTTCTGATGCCTTTGCTAGATAATGAGAATGCTATTACCCAGTATATTTGCCTTGTGTAGGAGCCTGATATGAAGTTCCGGTGGTCCTTTCCACTTCCATGACTTTAAATTTAGTGGCAAATCAAAGTTTCAGGAAGGCCTGTACCAACAGCTATTACTGAATGACTGAGCCTCCCATTTGTGCTTAGGATTAAACAAAGAATATATATATTTTTTTAATTTTATTTTAATACATTTATAGTTCTATCTGAATATGAATATATTTATATTTAGATACACTAACACACAATGTTAAGTAAAATATTGCTACATCATAGAAACCTTTATTAACTGAAAATATAAAAATGGAAATATATTGTTTCTCAGCATTATCATCTAGGTCTACAATGTCAAAAACCACTGTAACTAGAGTTCCAAAGGTGTTCAAATATGTCTATGAAGACAAGTTCTCTCAGTTGGGTGTTGGTCGGGTGCCTTCCACAAAG